GAGATTTGCAAAATGAGAATCTGAAGAACAAACGAATTTTGATTGAACGACTGCCAAATGTTTGGGTGTTTTTTTGTTTTTTGTTTTCCAAATCAGGTCTCATCTAACTTTTCAGCCTTCTTGCCCAAAAGGCGGCAGAGCTCCTCTGCTCACACAGCCTCGTTTGCCTAATAATAATTCTGTATTTTAACTTATTTGATTAATTTTGCTCTCCCCTTGCTTTGTAAAGCACCCAAATCTCTAACCCGTACCAGGCTCCACTCTTCTGACCCTTTTGATTTTATTTTGTGGATCCCAAGAGGATACCCTGTTTTTGCCAGCTCCCGGGATGTTTTCCTGCCTGTATCCAAGCCGGAGACTCTCCCTGCGAGCCGAGCCGAGCCGAGCCGAGCCAGCACCGCCGGGTGCCCCTCCACCCGCACCCTGCCAGCTCCCAGGGGAGGGACAGCACGGAGCAGGCAGTGACCAGCTCCAGGACGAGCCTCGAGGAAAACCAGCCCCAAACTGAAGGCGCTGCGCGGCTCGGCACCAGCGCGGCGCCTGGCCGGTGTTCAGATGCGGAGCGGGGAGCGGCTCCGGGCGCAGCCGGGGATGGACGCGGTGCGGGGCTGAGCCTCTCCCGGCCCCGACGGCCCCGGGGGGAGCGTGTGCGGCCACACGAACATGAACCGCACCTACACCCGCATCCCCCGAGGGCCGGGCCGGGGCTCCGTGCTCCCCCGCGGTCCCCCGGGGCCGGGCGGGGAGCGGGGCCGGTCCCGCGGGGCAGCGCCGGCACCTCGGCCCGGCTCGGAGGGGCGGGGAGGGGGAGCGTGTGTGGATTTGGGGGTGTCTCCCAAAGGGGAAAAGGCTGCAGGACGTGGAGAACCCGCGCCTGGTGCAGCCCAAGCTCAGCGGGGAAGGCAGCGCGCAAACAGCGCGGGGACACGCGGCGCGGCCGGGGGAGGCGCAGGATCCGCGGGGCGCGGCCCCCGCCCCTCCGGCATGGATGGGAGGGGGGATCCCCGAAGTTCCCTTCCCTGCGCGGCCGCGCACCTCGCGCGGGGGAAAGTCCCGCGGCCGCGGAGCGCCGGCCGCCCCCAGCTTGGGTTTCCCTAAAGGCGAACTGGGGCTAAATAATGGATCGATCTAAAATTAACCGGAGGAATGGAAATGCTCTAAAAATAAGCCAGCAGCTGCCGTGGTCGCAGCCCCCCGCTCCCGTGGGGAAGGGGGAGCGGGGCCGGCCGGAGGAGGGGGCGCGGGCAGAGCCGGGCGCGCTGCGCGGGGCTGCGCGGAGCGGCGGCCGCGGCTCTCCGCGGGCGCGGGGCCGCTCCGCACCTCGGCGCGGACGGAGCCGCCCAAAACTGCGCCGCCCGCCTCGCTGCCGGCACACCTGCGGGTTGTGATTTTCCTCTGTATTTCTCTGCGTTCGATTCTTCTCATTTCGGCGCGGAAGCTCCGAAAGCCTTTGGGAAGCGGCGGCCCCGGGGGCTGCGGAGCGTGTGCGGGAGCCGCGGGCGCGGAGCTGCGGGGCAGCGGGCCGGGGCCGCTGGAGCCCCACCGCGCACACACACACACACACACACACGCACTCACACTCGCACACACCTCCTCCTCTTCCCTCCTTTTGGATCCACGCAGCGATCCCATATCCTCCCGGCTCGTCTCTTTTATTCTTTTGTACTGAGGCGCGTTGTCCTGGCCAGCAGTGTGAGCGGGGGCTTTGTAAAACGGGACAGATAAAAATGAGCAACATCATATTGTTTGACAGAATGATCCAAAATGATAAAATGCCTTCTCCGGAGGGGGTGAAAATGGTGAATTCCTAAAAAACAAGAGCGTCGCTTCTCTCCTCAGCCTCCCTGCGCTGCTCGCTGTAGCCTAAAGGGATCTGCCGCCTGCACCAGCCCGGATCACGTCCAGCCACTCTTTTCATTGGGAAGTCTCTTTTTAAAAGCCTTCATTTATTTATTTTTAAATAAATAAAGAAGGGGGGAAGCAGCTTCTGCTCGGGACCCCCCGTTCTCCTCGCGGCGAATGAAAAGCGCAGTTTTCGAGAGAAAGGCTCGTTTTGATTAAATCTGACATGCTGCTGATAACTCCATGCTAATGTGAAATAATTAACATAATAGCCATAATTAAAAGCACGCTAACAATGCCATAAATTTATCACACAATTTTACTAGCTTTCTGCCCCTAACTGCTCTCTCATCGTTAATTAAACGTGTTGCCTTTTACAGAATGGATGTTTATACATTTCCAATACAAATAAATCCGAAACCGTTTTGGAAACATGACCAATTTCGTTTTGCACTGAGGTCTGCCTGGTTTACGAGAGATTTATTACGATTTTTAAAAAAAGGGGGGAAAAAAGAAAAATAAAAAAAGAAACCAAACACGTGCAAATAGAGGCCTAAGAATAGAGGGGGGAAATTACATGTATTTAATAATCTACATCTTCAGCGAAAGGCCCTGCTGACGGGGGGTCCAGGCTCTGCCCCTCGCCCCATTTCGGCCCCGACCCCGGTCCTAGCGGTCGGGGGATGTCTGCGTGTCCCTGCCGTGTCCCCTCCCTTGGATGTGTTTATTTTACAGGGATTTCTCACCCGCAACCCCTTTCCTGCGAGCCCTTTTCCCCCCGCACGTTTGTACCGAACGACAATGCTGGTTTAATCCAGGTCAGGTCAACGATTTATATAACTCATTAGTGAAAGTAATAGGCTTAAGGAGCTGAAAGGGGACACCTTTGGTTTCTCCTTCCTTTAAAACGATTACAGAAGCAGAAATTGCCCCAGCCCTGTCTTTCCTCCACAATCTCCCCCCCACCCCCGAGGCTCAGCCTCCGGATTTATTTTTAACTCGCTTCGCGGCCAGGATCTTGCTTTCCCATATTAGAATCAAATTGAGTTGTAATTAATTTCTCCCTCTCTATCATAACTTATTCCATCCTCCCTTTTCCCGTTGCGCTGCCGTGTCTCTATTTGACTCCGTATCGATCCGGACCATACAGTTTGTTTTTCTCCTGTTGCTAAATCTATCTGTCTATATGGGCGCCCACTTTCTATTTCTGGCCGTGTCATTATCGTGGGTTTCCACCTCCACAGGAGCTGCTTTAATTGTTTTATCGCTTTGCAGGACGCCCGTCCTGCTCCCGCTCACCTCCAGCCCTTGAACTTCCACGGCTTCGGGGGCTCCCGGCTTATTTGGGGGAAACTTTCCCGGGTTTTAGCAAAGCTTTTCTCCGCCCGGGTGGGCTCCTGAATAGCTTCCAACGGGATGGGCTTCGAAATGCAGCCCTAAACTTCAGCAGGGGAAGGCCTGGGGGCCGCGGCAGCGCCCGCGGAGGGGCGCGGAGAGGCGCGGAGCGGGGCGGCCCCGCTCAGCCGGCAGCCGTGATTGAACATGGATTAGCACAATGGAGCCCTAATCGAGGGGAAACGTTTCTTTTCACGCTAAGCACCGTAATTAATAATACGAATCAATTAATTTGACTTTTATTGTGCCGAAGAAAAGCGCAACAAATGGAACAGGGGGCTGCGGAGTTGGGGTTTTTCCTCCTTTTTTTTCTTTTTTTTTCTTTTCCCTGGCAGAGGCTTTGCGGCGCGCCGGGTGACACCCACGGCGAGTGCGTGTGTGTGAACGCGGCTCGGTGACTCCGCGTGTGACGGCGGGCGGTGCGCGGGTGCGGAGGTCACGGGCCGCGGAGATCCCGTGGGAGACGCGCGGAACGGAGTGCGGGGAAGGTTCCCCATCCTCTCCCCGAGCCGGGCCCGGCAGAGGCTCTGCGAGAGGCCGGGACAGCGGCCCTCCGAGCCCCGGCGGGTTTTGGGCCAAGGAGGGGAATCGCTGTCCCTAAAGCAGCGCCGCTCATAGGAAATCGTTGAACTCCTGGGGCATTTCCCTCATTTAATTGTATTTACCGAAATCGGACAACACGTGCGGGAAGCAGCAGAGCGAAGGGCTCGGCGGGACGGATTAAAAAGCCAAACCCCGGGAGCCACCCGCGGCCGAGGGCCCGGGCGGGGGCTCCGCACCGGGGCAGGGGTGGGCGGCCGGGCCCCCTCCCGCCCCGCCGGGCGCCTTTCCCCGGGCCGGGGCTTACCTGGGGCCGCGGCAATACGGTCCTCACATTCACACACACTCCCTCATTTCCTACTTTTTCATATGCTAAAGCCCGCAATGATTAAGTCGTTAACACCTCTGGAAAGGAAAAAAAAAAAAAGGGAAAAAAAAAGAAAAAAAAAAAGTAACCGGCTAAAAGGTTCTTTATTTACAGTTTCCCTTTGTTATTTTACGTCTTTTTTATTTCTCCCTGTCCCTGCAACTAACCTAATAGATTAATCAATAGCTATTCTCCGGTCTTCCGTTCCCAGCTGGTGCTGCTGCCGCTGGTAAAAAAATAAAAAAAAATAAAAAAAAAAAGAAACCCACGGAAAAGTGGTTTCAAAGCCCAAACTTGGTGCTTTTAGGCGCTCCTGCGGCGGCGCATCCGCTGAGCCTGCGCTGCCGAGCGCCCCGAGAGCGGCGGCTGCGGGCCCGGCCGGTGCGGCGAGCCCCGGCGCGGCAGCAATTCCGCGGGGCCCGGCCGGTGCCGGGGCCGCCGGGCCCCGTCGGGGCGGGCAGAGCGGAGCCGCCGCCGCTCTTTGTTGACAGTCCATGAAACAACTCGAGTTTTGCATGACTTCACAGCGGGGCGCCTGACGTCAGGCGGTCACGTGGAGCCGCCTCCGAGTATATCTTTAACGGGAAAGTAATCTATCAGGCAGTCGGGACCGCCGCGCTGCCAAAGTGGCGAGCGAGGCCCCGCGACCCCCGGCCTCCTGCCCCCGCCCCGCCCGGCCGCCGGCAGCTCCGTCCCCTCCCTCCGCCGAGGGGGGGAAAAAACCGCCGCCAAAAAAAAGCCAGACGAGAGGAGGAAAGAGAGAAGAGGAAACACACCAAAAAAAACCAAAACAAAAAACCAAAGCAGCCGAGCCGGCGCGGAGGGCGGCGGAGCGGTGCGCGGCGCGGCCGCGGAGCGGAGCGGTGGAGCGGCGGCGGCCGCGGGGCAGCGGGGCAGAGCAAGCCCAAGAGCAGCCTGGTGAAGCCGCCCTACTCGTACATCGCCCTCATCACCATGGCCATCCTGCAGAGCCCGCAGAAGAAGCTGACGCTCAGCGGCATCTGCGAGTTCATCAGCAACCGCTTCCCCTACTACCGGGAGAAGTTCCCCGCCTGGCAGAACAGCATCCGCCACAACCTCTCCCTCAACGACTGCTTCGTAAAGATCACCCGGGAGCCCGGCAACCCGGGCAAGGGCAACTACTGGACGCTGGACCCGCAGTCCGAGGACATGTTCGACAACGGCAGCTTCCTCCGCCGCAGGAAGCGCTTCAAGCGGCACCAGCAGGAGCACCTGCGGGACCAGACGGCGCTGATGATGCAGGGCTTCGGCGCCTACGGCCTGGCCGGACCCTACGGCCGCCCCTACGGGCTGCACCCCGGCGCCTACACGCACCCCGCGGCGGCCGCGGCCGCGCTGCAGTACCCCTACATCCCCCCGGTGGGGCCCATGCTGCCGCCCGCCGTGCCGCTGCTGCCGTCCAGCGAGCTCAGCCGCAAAGCCTTCAACTCGCAGCTCAGCCCCAGCCTGCAGCTGCAGCTCAACAGCCTGGGCGCCGCCGGCTCCATCGTCAAGTCGGAGCCCAGCAGCCGCCCGTCCTTCAGCATCGAGAACATCATCGGCGTGCCCGCCGCCAGCTCGGCCGCCAGCGCGCAGACTTTCCTGCGGCCGCCGGTCACCGTGCAGTCGGCGCTCATGGCCCACCAGCCGCTGGCGCTGGCCAGGACCACCGCGGCCATCGCGCCCATCCTCAGCGTGCCTACCAACATCATCGCGGGGCAGTTCCTGCAGCCCGCGGCCCCCGCCGCCGCCGTGCAGGCCAAGTGGCCGGCGCAGTAGCCCCGGGCAGCGCCCCGGGGAGCCCCGGCCGCCCCCTCGGGGCTCCGCGGCCGCCCGGACCCGGAGCAGCAGCGGGCACCGGCCGCCGCCGCCGCTTGTACATATTTGTATCAAAAATCACTGACGTTGCTTTCGGGGTTTTTATTTTTCTAAAGAGGCGAAAATGACGGTCGCGATTAGGAGCTGCGAACTTTCACTTTTTTTGAAGGTTCCGGCGCTCCGAGTGGTTTTATCCGAAATAAACGAACAAACGAGGAGAAAAAAAAATTGTATAAAAAAGAAATAAGCGGGGGAAATTTTAAATATTAAACGAACGGACAGGAAAAAAAAAAGAGAGAGAGAATTTTGGAGAGAAAAAAAAATGAGGAAAAACGCTGTCATTCTATTATAGAAGTCTGTTTATATATGAATGAATATATGTATTCTAAATGTTATCCCTTGGTGTTGTACACAACTTTGTAAATAAATTTTTAAAATGCTCTGCCCGTCTCTGTGTGAGCGGTGTCTTTGTGACCCCCGCCCGCAGGACGGGCTGCGCGGCCGCGGAGGCTGGAGACGCGCTCGGGGCGCGGCCGCGGAGCGCCGGTGCCGCGGGGCTTCGGGCTCCGCCGGTCGCGGTGCGGGCGGGTTCCCCACGGTCCCTCCACCTGCTTCGGGATGCGCCGTGCGACAGCGACAGCGCCCGGCCCTGCTCGCTCGCGGCGGCGGGGCCGCCATCACCCCGGTTCCTTCCAAATCCAACCTTCCCCGGCAGATCCGAGGCTCCCGTGATGTTTCCCTAAATGTATTCATTTTTCTCGGCCTGACTTCAGCACTACATCCCGGCGCTGCGGCATTCCCGGCCGGAATAGGTACGCTTTGGGTCTGCGGCCGGGGCTAATTATAAGGGAAATATTTTAAAATAAAACACGTCCGGTGGGTTTAATCAATGTTTAATATTTATTTTAGAGGGGGAAAAATACGTATATATTCAGGCCGTGGCCGTGCGGTGTCCGAGCGAGGATCTTTCGTTTAGATCAGGGAAATAATCAGGGTTAAAGCAGCGGTTCTTCCCCCGGGAAAGGATCGGCCTTTCCCAGTTAATTCCCAATAACTCAGCCTTAATGGCAGCTGTTAAAATTTAAAATAATATACATACATATATATGTATGTGTGTATTTTCGGGGTTAAAATAATGAGACAGTAAAAATTAAAAAAAAAAAAGGAATTAATATGTAGCGTTATAATATTTAAAGCGGCGCGTCGGGGGGTTGAGCCTGCTGAGATCTCGGTGTCTCCTGTGCACTGACAGTGTTTGGTGCTTTATTATCTCCCTCTTACAAAGTCGAATTTTTGTCACCTTGGAAAAGCGTCGTGGATTTTGCTTTTCCGCTCAAATAATTCGTTGTCTTTGTTAGGAAAATCGGCGGCGTAAAATGCAGGCGGGATGCGGGATGCGGCAGGCTCGGCTGCGGGAGGAGCTGAACCAGGCGCTTATTTCCCCTCCAACAACCCTCTGGCAGCCGCGGATTTAAAATAAATATATAAATAAAAGTGTCCTTGCTTTCCTGGTAAGCAGTAAATATTATTTCTTCCTAAGTAAATATTTATACCTCCGCATACATAGACTAAAATAAACCGAGCAGCCCCGGTGATGAGATCGTTTGAACTTTATAAATAAGGACTCGCTAATCATCTGCCGGGGACAGGGAGGACCTGGAGGGAGCGGGGACACGCGGGGCCCTCCGCGGGCACCCACGGCCCCGCGGAACCCCGCGGAGCGGAATGTGGCGGTGCGTGGCGGTGTCGGAGGAACGAGTTGTTTCACAGTTGTGTCTGGCTAATCGGTTTTACACAAACAGCAAATGGTGGGTGATTCGTGCGATCGAGGGGGGTTCTATATTTAGCCGATCCCCTGGGAAAAAAGAAAGGAGCCTCTGCCCGGAGTCGCTGCGAGGCTCAAGAAGCTGCTGATCCAGGGCTTCCAGAGGACACCGGATAACAGGGGCTCATTCCATTCCCCAGCCTTTGTTACTTATAAAATTACTCGCTCATATTTCCCCACATAGCAGCGATGCCTCGGCTCGGCATCTGCGCGCCGGCGGCAGCGGCACCGGCAACTTTCCTGCCCGCTGCCTCCCTCCGGGAACCTCTTCTCCCTCCGTAACCCCCGGGCCCGCTTCCCCCTCCACCGCCGAGGACAGCGGCCCGCAGGAGAAGCCTTTCCCGGGGAAGCGGCGGCTCCCGGGGCCGGGCGCCACCGGGAAGGCTCGGGGCAGGGGAAGAACCCCGGGATGAGCCCCCCATCCTGCCGCCGCCTCCCCGCGGGAGCCGTGGCTGCCCGCAGCCGCGGGGCCGTGAGCGGCACGGGGCCGTGCCCGCAGCCGGGGGCTCCCGGGGGCGGCGGGGCTGCAGTGGCGCACCGGGGCCTGCGGGGGGCGCGGCGGCTCCCGCTGCTCCACGGGGAACGGGCGCGCCCCCCCCGGGGCCGGGAGCACCCCCGGGAGCGGCAGCATCCCCGCAGCACCCGGATCCGGGAACACCCGCGGAGCATCCGCGGGCACCGGGATCGCGCTCACGGCCCGCGGGGTCGGGAGCACCTCCGGGGCCGGGGACATTCCCGGGGACGGGAGCACCCTCGGGACGGGGAGTAACCCCGGGGCCGGGAGTCATGGAGGACTTCGGGTGAATTCGGGGGACCGGGAGCACCCCGGGACGGCACTGACCAGGGCGGCACGACGGGGCGTCCCGGCGGGTCCCGCAGAGCTACCTGTGGGGATCGGGAGTCCAGGGGGTGTCAAAAATCCGTCCCCGAACAGGGGAGGGTTTGCAGCCGGGACGGGAGCGGCTCTCCCGGCGGAGTGGGCGCAGCCCCACAGCCGGACCGTGAACGGCGGGCCGGGGAGCACCGGGAGCAGCGTATCCCTGCGAAGTTCCCGCAGCCACGGGCCGCAGCCGGACAACAGAAACTCCTTCCCTTGTTCTTTCCCTTGTTTTCCCTTCCACAAACTTGTCCGCCGCATATGGCAAAACTTGACACGGCCGGTGACAGATGCCCATTAGTATAAGTCGTGTCACGTCGGTCCCCGGGGTGTGTTGGAAGTAACTAGATCCGAAACACCGGGGAAATGACCCTCCCGCAGCCCCGAGAGTTTACCCAGAACCGCCACCCCCTGCACCCTCCCCGACCCCGCTCCTTATTTATTCCAACTACGGCCCCGCCGCTCCCTCCGCCGCGGGAAGGGATTTATAACAGGATCTGCCGATAGGATCTGGCCCTAATCCTCTAAACCATCACGCTGGTTGAAAAAGGGACGAGATGGGGCTCATCAGGGCCATTTCCTCGGCTGCTGCGGGGCTCCCGGGGAACCCTCTCGTTTTCGCTGCGCGGCCGCGGGAGTTGCGCCCCCTTTCCCCGCTCTCCGCGCTCCCAGCGCCGTCTATTTATAGCATCACTGCTCTCTCCGGGCACAGAGCGGGGCTGAAAGTTTCGGGCTAATGGGTGTTGAAAGGCTGCGGCGAGCGTTGGAAAAGGCAGGAAAAGACCTTTTGGGGTTATTTATAAACGTGTATTTATCGCGCGCGTGTTTTTATCTCAGTAAGCAGCCCCAGCGCTCGGGGTATCCCCCCGGCCAGCCGAGACCCGGAGGGGGGCAGCGATCCGAGACCCCGCTCCGGAGCTGCGGAGGCACAGCTGAGGCCGGGTTTCCCGCAGGGAACAGCGCCGGGAGCGCTCCGGGCGGCCGGGGAGCGGAGTCCGTCACAGACCTTTCCTTCTCGGTCTGTGGCCGGAGGAAATCATCCACCGGTGACATCAGCCCCCTTTGGGACACGGGCAGCGTCTGAGGACGGCTCAGGCTTCCTCGGGGGTTACGGGCTCGGGTCGGCGGTACCGGGGGATTTAACCCGCCCCGCCCGCACCTCCGGCACTGCCCGGGGTCCGTGTCCCCGTGTCCAAAGGGATGGCTTTGGGATGAGCCACCCTCATCTTCCGCGGGGCCCTCGGGGCTGTCCCGCTCCGGGAGAAGGACAGCAAGGATTGCTTTAGGAGAAGTGCGGGTTTCCCCCGACCCGTGCGGGTGCGGGTCAGGGGGCAGCTCCCGGAAGATGGGGGAATTCCATGGGGAACCTCGGGCAGTTTCTGTTTTCTCCCTCGCGTCCGAGGTGCGCTGGGGGCCTGTCCCCGCCTGCTGCGGGGAAACCAGCCTGTCCCCTCCCGAAGGCATTTTATTGGCGTTAAAAGGCAGAGAGAGAAGAATCAAAAGTCACACTGCCCATCCCGGAGGCTGCGGACGGGCCGGGCATCCCTCGGGACGGCCACTGAAACGCTTCAACCTCCGCCCGCAGCCGGGAGAGTCCGTGCCAGCCATCCCCGCCGTCGGGAGAGTCCGTGCCATCCATCCCCGCCGCCGGGAGAGTCCGTGCCAGCCAGCCCCGCCGCCTCCCTCGCCACCGCCGCGCCGGGGACCGCCGCCACCGGCCAAACACCCGCCACGCAGTTTTCTGGAGAGGCAACTCCTCAATTCCAGCGGGTTTTACTGAATTACGTGTTACCAGTGCTAAAACGTTAAGCGTTATGTACTTATAAGATACAGAGCATAGGTATTACATCCACAGGAAGTATTTTAGTCAGTGAATGTTCAATGTAGCAGGTAGAGATGAACTTAGCACGTCTTCCAGACTGAACTGGGAACAGACTCTTCAGCCATAAAATGCACTTAACAGTCTATTTAATAGTGGCGAGGTCCTTGAAAATGCAATATCCATGCTAATCTTGCCTTTTTCTAAATCAGAAATGAAAAATAGGTCAGGAAGGTAGAACCTTCCCCTTCCATTTAAAATGTGACATTTAATTTATTTAAATAACTAAGTAAACTTTATTAATCCGGGATTTGGTAAGCAAGCTGAGGAAGCGGGAACAGCGCGACTTTATTAAGGCGGCAAAATGTGAGAGGGAGCGTCCTTGAACTCCAGGTGCGATAAAATCCCGGTTTCCTTGAGCTTCGGCGAAAAGGGAAAAACCGAGACACACGAAACCCGCCCAACCTCTCCTGTCCGGGAAAGGATGGAAGGAAAGGTCCTGCTCTGCTTTACCGAGGACTCGGAGCACCCGGGTCGGACGAGGGAAACTCCGTGTCGCCCATCCCCTAGAAAATGGCAGAAATTCAAGAGAAACCCCCAAACCCCCAGTCATTTATAATTACTTTATTAAGTGCCAATATTTAATGGGGAAAAACAAAAATAAATCCATCTCCCTGCGGGCTCAGCTAGTGGTTTCTGACACGTTTTCTCCTGGTTTTGCTCGGCAAAGGAGAACGAGCAAGAGCCGAGGCTGCTGAGGGCTCAGAGCGGGGCTCGCAGCGCGGCTCGGTGCCCGCTAAATCCCGGGCGCTGCCTGGGCTGGGGATAACCTGGGAATCTGCAGGTTGGGAATCTGCAGCTGCAAACGCCTCCGGAGTTTGTTCCCCCGCTCGCTCCGGCACCACGGCTCCGCTCACAAACGAAATTCTGCATGAGCTGGAACTTTTTATGGCCGCAGGCTCTGCACCCCCGCCCGCCCTAGGACAGACTTTCTCGCTATTCTGGCCGCGTTTCACCCCAAATTTATGGATTTTTGCCTTGCCACCGCTCGGCTGCCATCGAGCCATAGAGCCGGGGTGGAGGAGAGGAGCAGCGGAGCTCCGGAGAACGCCAAGGGTTAAGAAAAGCCGTTTATCTGCTCATTATCGGCTTCTCCCCACTGCCGAGCACCAAACCCCGCTCGCCTCATTCCCCGCCGCATCAATGTGTCCTGAATGCCTTTTCCAGTCATTGATCTGGTCAAAGGCACCGCAGAAACACAAGTGACAGAGACTCAATTCCAGGCGACGCGCCCGATGCGAGTGTTTAGAAAGCATTCAATAAAAAAGCTTTGCCGGGGAGTGAATGATTTCACCTTGCAACAAAGAGCGCCCGGCTAATTGCAATAATGCACTTGAATGTGCGCCCGTGGGCTCCTGCTCGCTCATCCCAGCTCCAGCACAGGATTCGCAATAATCTCCAAGGAAAAATCCAAAAACTCCTTTTTTTATTTATTTTTTTTTAAATATTCCACAGGCAACGAGCGCGGACTCGGGGCGGCGGTGTTATCAGTGCTCCCCGGCCTTGCTCTTTTGGGAATTCTGGGCATGGAAAATCCTGGAGGGGAGAGTAAAAGGAGAGGAGAGAGGTACTGAAATAGGAATCTGCCCTGGTGATTCTCGCCCGGGCTCAGGCTGGGAATTCTCTTGTTTCAGTGCCACAAGGCAGCTCCAGCCGCTGTGCGTTCAGGACACTCAGTTAGCTCGCAATTGATGAATTTCTAGGATTATCCTTGTTTTACAGACTCGTCATTTCCAGACATGCCGTCAAAATCCTGAAATGGACGCACTTTACCCGGCAGGAATATAAATTATTGAGTGTACCAGATTAGGCAAACTGTGTAAAATTTGGTGGGCATAATTGCCATTTCCCACAGGATTATGGCCAGCAGACTGGTGTGATTTTTACCTTTGTCTGTTTAAGAGAGATTTCAGTCTCTTCACACCATCCCACATGAGGAAAGAGCACAAGAGGCTGAAATTATGGCAGGTGTAAGAGGGACCAGAATGTCCAAAGAATTTGCACTCAGAAATGGTTGGGATAGTGGAAATCAGCATCCTGCACTGGAAAAACATCAAGGGATAAAAGCTGTCTCTGATGTAATGGATTATTATATTTATAGTGCTTATATATTTAAAAAATAATCTGCACATTTGAAAAAAAATTAATCACTTTGATTTACAGTAATCTCTGTTTACTTTAACGTCTCTGTTCTAAGTGTTCAGACATTCCTTGACCACATTTTTTTTGTTGTAGCAGCTGTGTTTAACACAACTTTCAGCCCTGGGATTCCACTCCAAGGAGAGCACTGCTGCCAGCTCACCTGGCCATAAAACCCTCAGTAGGTGCTGCTGTTTATAGAATAATCAGTTTTCTGTTCAGTTTCATGTCCTGACCTCAGAAGAAAAGCCCAGGCTGGGTGGATTTGGAGCACCCTGGGATAGTGGAAGGTGTCCCTGCCCATGGCAGGGGTGGGATGAGATGATCTTTGAGGTGTCCTTCAACCCAGAGCATCCTGTGATCCTGATTTTTGATATGCTCCGTCCTTCGTCAAGAGAATGAAAAGGGGCAAGACTGAGAGGTTTAACGTGAGGCCTATGGTGTATCACAGAGATTCCAGAGTCCTCCCCGCGTGTCCAGAAGCCTGGAGGGATGGCCCTGCCCGAGCAGGGAGCTGCGGTCCCTTCCAGCCTGGGAGCCTGTGCTTTCTTCCCAGATATCCTCTCCAAGCTGCAAAGGCTGAGGGGCTGCTCCCCAGCTAGCCGGCATGGTAGAAAAACACGAATCCCAGACTGGTTTAGGTTTAAAGGACATTAAAGTCCATCCAGTGCCACCCTGCCATGGCAGGGACACCTCCCACTGTCCCAGGCTGCTCCAAGCCCCATCCAGCCTGGTTTTGGGCACTGCCAGGGCTCCAGGAACAGCCACGGCTTCTCTGGGCACCTGTGCCAGGGCCTGCCACCCTCACAGGCAGGAATTCCTCCCCGTATCCCCGTATCCATCCCCGCCCTCTGGCAGTGGGAACCATTCCCCCTTCCCCCGTCACTTGTCCAGAATCCCTCTCCAGCTCTCCCGGAGCCCCGTTAGGCACTGGACGGAGCTCCGAGGCCGCCCCTGGAGCGTCCCCTCCCCAGGAGCAGCCCGCAGCCCGCCCGGCCCGGCCCCCGCCATGGCGGAGCGCTCCTGAGGCGGCCCCGGCTCCCGCCCCGCGCACGCGCACTGCCCGCCCGGAAGGCGCCGCGCAGGCGGAAGCGCGCGCGCCGGCCCGAGCCCGGTGAGAGCCCGCGGGGGGAACGGGCTGAGGGGAGCCGGGACAGAACCGGGACAGAGCCCGGGACAGAGCGGGGCTGAGAGCGGCAGCGGGGGCTGAGCGGTGAGGGGAGGTGAGGGGGCTGTGCGGCGACGAGGCTGAGGGCGGTCAGGGGGCTGAGGGATGACGAGGGTGACGGCGGTTGAGAGGGCTGAGGGGGTGACGGGGCTGAGGGCGGCCAGGGGCCTGAGGGAGCTGTGGGGTGAGCCGGCCACGGGCGCTGAGGGGGCTGAGGGAGCTGTGGGAGCTGAAAGGTTGAGGGGGGTGAGAGAGAGCGGGTCGAGGGTTCTGAGGGGGCTGAGGGGGTGAGGGAGAGCGAGTCGAGGGTTCTGAAAGGCTGAGGGAGAGCGGGTCGAGGGTTCTGAGGGGTTGAAGGGTCGAGGTTTCTGAGGGGGTGAGGGAGGGCGGGTCGAGGGTTCTGAGGGGGCTGAAAGGCTGAGTGGGTCGCGGGTTCTGAGGGGGTGAGGGAGGGCGGGTCGAGGGTTCTGAGGGGCAGCAGGGTCCGCTGGTGGCCGGGGCCAGCTCGGGGGCTTGCAGCTCGGCCCCGGTGCGAGCCCCGCAGCGCCAGCCCGCCCTGGGGGCTCAGGGAGGCCGGGCAGAGCCAGGGGTGAGAGGAGGAATAAAGGCATCTCCTGACAGGGATTAGGGAAACAGCAGGGCTGTAGACAGGTGTTGCTGCAACAGATTAAATTCTTCACTCAGCGTGTGCGTTTTTCAGCTGCTGAAATGTGGTCTTTTGAAAGAAGTTCTGTTCAGGGCCGTGCGTCTGTGGCTGAGTTGTGTCAGCTTCCTTGGGCCAGGGCTGGGTGGTTTGTACTGGTGTTATTTATCCGAATCTTCATCGCACACAGTGTGTAAGGATAGCATTTCTTTGGTGTTTTTGGTTTTTTGTTTTTTTTTTTTTAGTCTGTGATTTTCACCTCATGCTTACAGGTGGGATCTTGAGATCACCTGATCACGTGTTGCACATCCAGGGGAAGGTGAAAAGTTTGGGATTGACCAAACTGGCTTTATCATCCCCTGAAAAATAGTCCTAACATTGTTACCCACAGGATACCAAGAATTAAGAATTCTGGGCTTTAGTATATAATAAAAGTGTGGCTTTTTGTTATAGGTAGTATGGTGTAGTTATTAAAGGTGAAAAATAAATAGGAAAGAATATTTTAAGAGCCACTTTTGAGAGCAGAGAAAGAAACTCAGTATGCCAGAAAACAATTGTTATTCCAAATGTAGGGAATGGCAAAAGTAAATGAGTGAAACAGAGATGGGGGAGTCTGTAGGTCAGGCTGGTGCTATGTAATAATTAAGAAGGTATAATTAATTAATGTTGTGGCAAGATAGAAAAGGACAGCTGTATCTTTTATTTAGATAAAACTACCTCCCCTGTGGCTTAGGCACAGGTGAAAACATGCAAATATCAGTGTTCACCTTCCTACCTATAGATGGAGATCTGCTGCCACAGATTTATATTATTAATTAACTTCTTTTTTCCCCTTGGTGGTGGTGTTGGGTCACACCTTTCTGAGAATAGTAAATGAATGTGGGTGGAGTTGGAGAACAATAAGCTAAACATGCCTTAGATGTTGCGTGTTTGTAACTCAAACAGCAGCTCAGTGCTTCTGCTGTATGGGATTTTTGGTTTTGGTCAGTGGCAAATGTATTAAACTCACTTAAATCAAATTACTTTTCTTATCTGCAAGGAAAGTCTGTGGCAGTTGTACCCTTCAAGGCTGGAGTAGTTTCTTCCTCACTTTTTTCCTAGTTCAGACTAAAGTTTTTCTGATTCTTTGGGTTGAAGTTTGCATATTCTGTAGTTGGTTGTTTTAGATTTTTTTTTTTTTTGCATAGGACAGCATAATAATTTTCCTGTTTCTTGGTTTTTGAGTTTCGTGCACACAGCCTTCAATTTGACAGGGCTGGCAATATTTCTTTTACTGGCTCCGTAGTGTGGTGAAATGAGCTTGGTGGGACAATTGCTTTTTGGGGGTGAGAGGATGGAGACTAATGTCTCCTGAGACCAATTAACTTTTAACTAACTTTTATTTTGTTTAACCCAGCAGTGGTGCCTAGACCAGAAGTGCACTTTGCATCATCTGGCTGCGGTGCTTTAACTGAGGAAAGAAGTGGCATTAATGTAACCCTGGCTCAGTTTTAACCCCTGGTTTTGTTAATAATGCAGCGAGCTGTTAATGCAGTGGTGGCTGGGCACAGGAGGCTGGCTGGTGCTGTAGCAGTGTCCTTGCTGTGTCCCCAGGAGCCCGGCAGCCATGGAGAAGTGGAGCCTGATGACCATGGCGGTGCTGCTGGCGCTCACCGTGCGCTGGGCTGTGTCCCTGGGCTCCTACTCAGGTGAGGCACCTGCACAGCCTGCTGCAGCCTCGGGAGGGGCTGGAGGGGCCTGGCCTGTGTCCCTGGGCTCCTGCTCAGGTGAGGCACCTGCACAGCCTGCTGCAGCCTCGGGAGGGGCTGGAGGGGCCTGGGCTGTGTCCCTGGGCTCCTGCTCAGGTGAGGCACCTGCACAGCCTGCTGCAGCCTCAGGAGGGGCTGGAGGGGCCTGGCCTGTGTCCCTGGGCTCCTGCTCAGGTGAGGCACCTGCACAGCCTGCTGCAGCCTCAGGAGGGGCTGGAGGGGCTTGGCAGAAATGGAAATGGATGGAATTACTGCTGATTTATTTTGTTGGTGTTTATGTAAAATCATACATAGAGAGTAATGTGTCATTTCAACTGTTGTTGTATTTAAGTTCCTCTTGATTTCCCTGAGAATTCCTTTTTCTTGTTTTTTGAAGCGTGCCATGATTAACATTACAGTTTGGAGCAGAACACTGGAAAAAACCACCATAACTTTTTTTTTTTTTGGGTGGTGCTGATGATTATTCATTCATGTTTTAGGATCAATATCTGTCTGTTTTCCCCTGTGCCTTTATTTGCAGAATATTGCAGTCCACTTGCACATTTGCCTCATATTGTCTTTCAAATTCTGCAGCAGACATGACCTTATTATTTGTATTTTTATTTAGCTTATATGTAGCTAATCCTGGTGCTAATGAAGACAGTGCAGAGGTGACATGGAGTGAACAATGACTCTGCCTTGTAGCTGTACCTCCTTAAGCTTGTTTACAGCAGCAGCCAGAGCTACATTCTGGTAATGGATGAGTTTTTCTCCTCCTCATGTCAGAAGGCTTGCAAAGAATTAGCAAGTTCCTCTCCAAGCCTCCCAGTTCCATTCCCACACTTGGAATAAGCTTGCACAAGGCTTGCTCTCTGCAAATTTAACAAAAGATAAAAAATGAACCAATACTTTCAATCCTCATCAGCCCAAAGAATCACAAGTCAAATTCTACTCTGTTTTTTTTTGAGGCAGTGGGGGAGCCTCATCCCCTGAGCTGCTCAGGAGCATTCTGGTGATTTTTAACTCGTAATTCTGGGTTTTATTTACTTGAAGAATCTGCTTGAAGCTGAACTGCATTTCCAATTGTTTTGGTTTGCTTTCTCAAAATGCCATTTCTGAGAGGTCTGTAGGTAACTGAGGTTTTTGCCCATTTCTAGGCAGGAAGCACCCTGGCTTCAGGCACACACTCAATTTCTCTTGCACTGCAAGAGGATTTATTTAGAATTCTGTTGCTAACTAGATTTTTGTAAGTTGATTTAATTTCAAACCAATCAAGGTTGTGGAAGAGACTCTAAAATAAAGCCTGAGCTAAAATAACAATTTTGAAATCTTATTTCCTCCCCAGTGCTGATATAACTTCTTTTGGAAGAGGAAAAGCTGAATCTGATCCAGTCCAGCAAATTATTAAAGTTTAACTTTGAGCATTGGCTGGCTATAAAAAGACAAACCCCAGTGTTGGAGCGACATAAATCCACCAGGATTTTATTTTTTCCTTTGTCTTCCTGCAGATGTGATAAACTTTTAATTCCACCCTCATTTACTGTGCACCCTCGGATCTGTCTCATTCCCACCCTGTTCCTTGCCATCAGCTGGCTTTTGGATCTGCCTCTGGAATTCAGTGCAGAAGCAGAAACTAATACCTGGTTTGAAAAGTTACCATTAGTCATGGCCTGGTCTTGGAGAATTACTGAGGAGAAATTTGGTTTCATAGCTTAATGCAGAATTTCTTAATGCATGTCCAAACTCCTGCTAAATGCAGGTATAGAGAGGCAGCTTCAAACCCTTAAAAAATCTGTTTCCACTTTAACAATAAAACTGAATTAGATCACTACTTTGAAGATGTTTGTGAGCCTTTTAAAAGCAAATATTCCAGTTTTATTAGTTTTTAACTTAATTTGTTGGTGGTGTACTTGGTGCTTTCTCTAGATGGAAGCTAAATGTGCTTTGTCAAACTAACTGATCAGTAATTGGCTTTTAATAATCAAACCTTTGGATTAAGATATTTTGGTCATTCTGAAGCCAATTAATTTTTTTATCCCTTTTTTCCCCTCAAGATTGAGAAATTGTTACACACTCTAAAATTTGGATAATATCTGTTTTGTATTTCAGTAATTCAAATATCCATTTTGTATTTCTGTAATTCAGATATCTGTTTTGTATTGATATCTATCCCTCAAGATTAAGAAATTGTTACACACACAAACACTCTAAAATTTGGATAATATCTATTTTGTATTTCAGTAATTCAAATATCCATTTTGTGTTGATATCTATTTTGTATTTCAGTAATTCAAATATCCATTTTGTATTTCTGTAATTCAGATATCTGTTTTGTATTGATATCTATTTTGTATTTCAGTAGTTCAAATATCCATTTTGTATTTCAGTAATCCAGTGGCAGATTCTTTGTTCCACTGGACTTACAGCTACAGAATTGACTGATGAAACTCCAATGACCTCACTTATTTGGGAAACTTTAATCTGAATGTGTGAGAGTGGAGATAATCTGCTCTCTGCACCCCCCAGGAAGAAATTAGCAGAGATAAGAGGTCCTTTGCACTTTCTGGGAATAAATTGCACATTGCTGAGCTCGGGGGATTCCCACAAACATAGATCATGGCTAAAACCACAGATGGCTTTCCTATATTTTAAAGAACCTCTTAAATCTCTGTCTGGCTCGTGTCAATATTTCACTGAGAGCACAATCAGTCCAGTTTCTGCTCTCAAAGAGCAGGTTAAAGTAAATAAACTCTGGGAAGATGCTTTGCATGCTGCCATTCTCACAGTTAGGCTTCCATCGAGGGCAGTATTTGACATCTGAAGTATTTGCATTGAGAAAGCTTTCTTTTCCATGAAAATGGCAAATATTAGTATTATGGTGATATTAATAGTAAGATACCATGGCATGGCTGAAACAAGTGAGAATATTGACAATTATCACACACCAGGGGAGTGCAGCAGCTCCCACAGAATCACTGTAACATGTCCATTATGTGCATTTTCCTAGTTCAGGGAAAGTACCACATTTTTCATCTGCACTTGGAAATGATTTTTTTTGTCAGATGAGGAAGCAGTTCTTCACAGCAGAGTATCTTGATAAATGCTCATTGCAGAAATCTCCAGAAAGCCAAAAGGACACATTACTTTTTTTTTTCTCTCTGTTAGACTGCATGATGAGGTCTCTATTTGCTCTCAATATAGAGGGATGGAGAATAAAATTAGTAATTAATGTGCAATACCTAACCAAATAATGTCCTGAATGCTGTGTCCTCTCTTTTTAGGGGCAGGAAAACCACCCATGTATGGAGACTACGAGGCTCAGAGGCACTGGCAAGAAATCACCTACAACTTACCCATCAGGCAGTGGTAGGTGGTGCCTTCAGAGGGAAATCCTGCTTGTGTTTTACACCTCTGAGTTTATTGTTTGCTTCATGATCCATTAGATTTTTAAATGTGGGAATTCTGCATTCTAGATTTAAGTGTAGCAAGCTTCATTTGTACAGATCATGTAAAACAGGAGAGGAATTATTCTAAATATTTTATTTGTTTTTGCATTATTCTTAATATTCTTTAGAGTACAAATGTAGTCCATGTATGTGCTACAACTCAAATTGGAATATATTGGAATTCCAGCTCATCTTCCAGCAAGGACAGGGATGTTTTGGGTGTGTGGTGTAATTTTTCCCTGGCTGCCTGTTGGGGAACAGACTAATCTCACAAACCAGAAAATTAATTCACTTGTGTTCTGTAAATACATGTGAACTCTGTATGGCTCTGCATAGTGACCTCAGATCATCTTGTTGTTCCTATATTCTCATTTTGGTCCTTTTTTTCCCCTGGGATATCCAAATCCTGACTGTGCCAGAGCTGGGATAAGAGGTGTTACATAATAATGGAGTTGGCAGCTTTGATCCACTCTGCTACACTGAGCTGTGTCTCCTTAAAACGAGGAGTTACAGCAGCCAATATTCCCAGGCACTCCCAGGGGCCAGATCAGACACTGCTGCAGCTGGCTTGGGCTGAGGGGCTGCCAGGTGGGCACCTTGGCCTTGTGTTTGCTCTCTGGTTCTAGACTTGATGTAGTTGTATATTTATAATTGAAGGGGGTTTTGGGGTGGGTCTGCTGTGGGAATTGAATCTCTAATACAGCAAAGTGGGTGTTTGGAACAGCACGTCTTGGCTGATGTGCAAGGATTGCATTCTAGAGTTTAAATATTTCTGGTCTATATTATTCTGTAAAGTCCTTTAGGAACATCTTTTTTATTCTGCTGCTAATTAAAACTCTGAAAGCTTCCTTACTAAATATTACTGGATATATAAATGTTGGGTTTCTTTTTTTTTAATTGAAAACCTTATGGAAGGTAAAATGAAGAAATAAACCCCTAAAACAGGCAAGTGCCCTGAAAGTTGCAAACTGTGACATTCTGCATGAAGAATCTGCACTGCCTTGGCAGGAGCAATTTTGAATTGTAGGATAAGAAGCAGAGATGCAACTCAAAGAAATGTGATTTATCATCTGTTCAGAAGACACTTCAGGCAGCTCATAAAGAATTCAAGAAATATAATTTACTATTATAAATGTCAAAAATTGGCTGCATTTGAAGAGAGGAAGTGGAAGAGCCAAGAGGCTGCCCCGTGGCAGTGGGAGCAGCCAGGCAGTGTTTCACTGGCAGGGGGGAAGGGGCTGCTCCTCATGGCTGCACCTTCTCCTTGGCCAAACCCCTCTGATCTCATTTGGAAAGGTGACTGTTTTGGCTGCTGCCATAGAAATCCTGACACAACAGAATCCCAAATGGGAAAATCCTTTTCCTTCCTTTCATATGGTCCACCTCGGTTTGGAGGTAGAACCAGGAGTTTTGCTCTCCACTGAAGTGAGATTTAGCAGCTTTTTTTCAACCACAAATATGTGAACTCTGCATCACTTTTGCTGTTATTTTGTTGCTTGAGACTTATTTAATGTGCACTAAAATTAGGCAGGTATAGATGCTGCCACCTTCTATTTTGGGTTTAGAATGCATTTTCATAGTATTCAGTCTTTTCCTTGGGTCAAAACCAAGCTGGAAATGTAGTCTTTAAATTAAAATTTAATTGTTTTTTAGGTACTTCAATACAAGTGACAACAACCTGCTGTACTGGGGCCTCGATTACCCACCCCTCACTGCCTACCACAGTTTTGTGTGTGCTTACATGTAAGTTCAGTGTTTGAAATCCTGTGTTACATTTTTCTTTCTGGATATTCAGCTTTCCCTACAAGCCACTGCTGGGTCTGGGATGCCCAGGGGAAAGTGCTGCAGGAACAGGGGGCATTGCCTGGGAAAGCTCTCGTGTGTGCAGAGCCCAAGTGACATTTGATGAGTGGATATCATGTAAATAGAATTCTGTTATTGGAATACTTTTTCCACAAGGGCTTTGCTGCTGTTGGAATGAGACTTATGGAATAAGAATGTAGGTTAAAGTGCACAGGCACAGCTATGTGGGGCATCTATGTGAACTGTAAATGGTTTATATTTAATACTTAAGCATGAAAGGTATTTACAATTGTTTTTTTTTAAAGTCCCTGGAACCAGACTGGAGGTGGTTATCTTGTCCTAATAAATATTGTATTCCATTTTTACTGTTTCCAAAGGTTATTTTTTTTTAATTGTGAAACAGTCTATAGTGTAAACTGATCTAGTGGTGAGGAAAAGCTTTCATTGATCACTATTGCTCTCTGAAATATTTCTTCTCATTCATCTTAATTCTTGGAATCTGCTCCTGGCTGTGTCATCTTTATTGCTGCAAGGAGTGTAAAGGGAAATGAGACCTGTCTGCATTTTGATGTGTCTGTACTTTGTTTTACAGTGCAAAGTTAATAAATCCTGATTGGGTTGCTCTGCACACATCTCGGGGCTATGAGAGCCAGCCCCATAAGTTATTTATGCGTACAACAGGTAGGAAGATTATATTTCCTTGGGATCATCCTGCACATTTGTCTTGCTTACTAATTCAGCGTGTTTCATAGGCAGCTTCTCTCTCTTCACTGGTTTATTCTCAGGTTTTTAATTGGGTGACTTTGCAGGTCCAATTCTGAGCCAAATTCCTGCATTATTTCCTCTTCTGCCGTCATTTGTGAAGTTGATGAATATAAAATATAGAAACAAGTTTTCAACCCAATTAATTAATTAAAAACTCTAAAACACAACTGCTCTTGTAGCATACCACCTTTTAATTTTTAAAATATTCTTGTTTTCCTTTCTATTCTGATGAACAGTCTTTTTATTTTTAGCTTACCCTGGTTTTTATTGTAAAATTATTTTACACGTAGCCTGGCATTTAGAACTTAACCTCTGGAGGTATCAGAGATCTTCATTAGGAGCTGATGTCAAAGGCAGGGATGTTTGATATTATTACTGTGAGAAAAAAAAGTAAACATTTATTTTACTTACTTGTATTCTAAATTTCTCTTCCACCATTTGGTTATTTTGAACTGCAAACAAATTCTGAAGAGATTTGTACTGTAATTTAGTGGCTGCAGCAGTAGGACAGCAAAGAGTGTGGCCAGTGAACTCTTGTTTCTTGTTACTATTTTCTTTCCTTCATTTGAAATGTCTTTTGCTTTTTCTAACACAAAATGCTTTCTGATTGCAGCAGCAGAATTTGCTGTTCATCAATAGCTTTTCTGTACCTCACAAAGCTCTCTGTCTGCTCTCTGGTAATTGATTGAATTGAAAAAAAAATCACTAGTATTTAATTACCCTTGAAATGGTCTTTATTAATTTTGAAATCAACTCACTTGACACAACACTGATGGGTCTGGAGAGCTGATAAACACTTTTTAACAGGGGCCATTAGAGGAGTGCATTAAAATAATTCAGGGTGGTCAATGGCAGCTTTATTTTAAGCTTCAGTGTATTTGTTTTGCTAACACCTTGGTTATATTTGTTTAGTTGTGGCTTAAGCTGGCAAAACCATTCATCCCTGGATAACTGAAATGTTTAAACATCTCCTTTCCCTCTTGGAGCCACTGCACATTCACTGAAAGTGGTTTGTAGAAATAATCTGAGGGGTTTTTTTGAGTTTTAGGACAACTCCAGAAGAATTCACCTGCTGGCCATGCCCTGGCAGGGGAACCTGCTGGCTCTGTTTTGTTGTCCCCTCTCCCAAATCCTTGCTGCAGGCAGGGGATCAAAGCCAAATCCCTGCTCTCAGTCTCTGTGTCCCATCACTGGTAATTCACACAGATTGGGATCATCTGGAGTTCTTCCCTGTGCCCCAGCCCCTCTGTGCTGTCCCAAACCTGGGTGCAGGCAGGGCTGATTTCTCTGGGGCATTCCCAAATGCCTGCCCTGCTTGTGGCATGTCAGGAACTAGAGAGTGACTGAGGCTGTGCCAGGAGCCAGGACAGCTGAACACGTGGAGGCAGCAGCTTCGGGACATCAGAAATGAGCCTGAGAAACATTAACAAGATCAAATTCTGTAGACCTGGTTCTTTTTGTCCTTTGAAGTGGAACTGCCCAGTTTATTTCTGATATTTTGATGTTTATTTGCCTGTGGTTTTTCTTGCCTCCTCCTTGTGGGAGGATTCTAATGGAGGGTTAATCTTTATTTTTCAGTGTTTGTTGCTGATCTGCTGGTTTATATCCCTGCAGTTATTTTATATTGTTTTTCCTTGAAAGAAACATCTGCTAAAAAAAAGGCAAGTACCTGGTGTGTGTAAATTAAACAAAGAAAACACTGTTAGAGCAGAGTAGAAGTGTAACACTGAGTTAATTAACACCTAGAACACCCTGATGGCTTCCATGTAAAACTGATGGCAACCACTATAGCTCATATTATAGGCTTTTCACTTTAAAACATTAAAAAAGCCTTTATTTTATCTTACAGCAATTATTTTAATGCTTTTAATAACAAAATTTTCCATTAACTTATTACTTGAGTAGTAAAAAACAAAAAAAAAATTGTGGTGTGGCGGGGGGGGGTTGGGAACTGCTTGTCTTGAACACTCCTTACAGTAGATTTTGGAATAACAAGTCTGCTGATTTTTGGAGTGGTTTAACATAGGTGTAGGTGATATTTGAGCTGTTGTAACGGGCAGGCAATATTCAATATTTTCTAATTTATGGCAAATCTTTATTCCTCAAAATATTCCTGACAGATGATTACTTGTAGAGAATAAGATTCCTACCTATAGGATGCACCATGGAGGGGCACATTTTTGTACTGGAGCAGTAGTTCCTCTGTCTAATGTCTAATTTTGGACTAATTATTTTCCCCTCTCTTTTTTGATCCTTCTTGCCAGGTTTCCAGTGCTTTCTGCATCCTGCTTTACCCAGGCCTCATCCTTATTGACCATGGGCACTTCCAGTATCCTTGTTCTGCATGGAAATGAATTCAGTTCATGGAATTACTGCTCCTTAGCACTTGTTAGCAGAGCACAGGCTGGCTTTGGTGTACAGAGTCATCTGGGGGGTTCTGCCCACCCCAAACAGAGATATCAAAGGAAGTCTGAAACATATTGGAGATAAAAATTATTGATATTGGCACAAATCAATCCCAACATGAATATCATTCTTCCCATGCCTCCAGCTCATCTCCCTGCCAGTCACTTCACTGCAGGCAGCACCAGTGGGGCTGTGACAGGGAGGAGAGTGATGGGCTGTGCTCCTGTGATTTGTGTGTGCACAGGGAATCCCCCTAGATCTTCCTAGGATGGCAGAGCAGTGGCAGGTGGAGCTGTGTGCAATGTTCAGCTCTGTGAAACCTCCCCTTCTGCCTTGGCTGCACAGCTCAGGGAGGTGAGTTCAGGGCTGGCTGGTGACACCTTCACAGGGGCTGTTAATGAATCCTGGTTTTATACTGGTTTTGTACAGGAGCAGCCCAATGCTGTCAGCTCACCCCGTGCTGGAGGTGCAGGGATTTCCTGCAGATTTCTGTGCCAGCCCTGCCACTCTGATGTGACCAGTGCCACCCTCTGAGCAGCTGCAGCAAGGCAGAGATTGCTTTCCCTGAGCTGCTGCACCTCTGCACGATCAGGGCCTCTTGGTGTGAGTTTGCTGATGTGAAATCAATAAGGTGTCAAATTCACCTGCTGATGTGGAGTGGGAAACGTGAGTGGGCTGAGAGCTCGTGGGCAAGCTGGATGTGTTGTCACAGCTGCTTAGGTTGACAGAGGGAAAACAAAATATTGTGACATTTCTGACAATACAAGAAATACAAGGGACAGTTTACAAGGGATGGAGTGACAGGACAGGAGGGAATGGCTTCCCACTGCCAGAGGGTGGGTTTGGGTTGGATATTAGGGAGAAATTCCTCCCTGGGAGCATGAGGAGCCCTGGCACAGGGTGCCCAGAGAAGCTGTGGCTGCCCCTGGATCCCTGGAAGTGTCCAAGGCCAGGTTGGAGCAGCCTGCGACAGTGGAATGTATCCCTGCAGTCTGGGATTCTTTGTTTACTGGTTTTTCTAAGTTAAAAAAATAAGTAAAACCCAAAGCTTTCATTACAGTTTACAAAAATTACAAAACTTTGTTGCAGTTTAATAGTAAGTGTAGCTTAGGCTCTTCAAAATCTTCTGAGCCTGGGAAGCTCTTTTCAAAGTCACAAGGCAGTAACATTGTTTTTAGCAACTATTACTCATTGTTTGAGCAGGATTAGCAGTCAGGGAACTGGTCATGGATGAGGGTGCCTTGTGTGTGTAACAGAATCACAAACCCTTCAGAAGTCCTTGAAGGAAATTATACATAATTTAAGCACTGACATATTTGAATATTCTGCACGTATCTTGTGGGAGCTGGAAGGGAAAGCTTGTGAGAGCTTTATCATTACTCATGGAAATACCAAGAAGAAAATGTTGCTTGTTGCAGAGAACTGTCACTGCTACCAAAAGCTGGGTTGGCTGAATGCATGTGTAATTACATGTGTAATTAACACACACAGAAGTTGCCCTCAGATTTGCCTGGGCAAACTCGGAATCAGACTTTGGAAATATAAAAATTACACTTCCAATGGAAGTAATTTTTTTTATCTTTGGGGGCAACATAGTCACTACTGGCAATGTGTTCTTAAAGCTAACTTGCAAAACTCATTTTACAAGCTATTTCTGCTTTCCCTCAGGGCATTAATTGCTGCCTTCCAGAAGTGAGATGTGTATCTTGTCCTTGACATAAAAAACCATATACAACTCAGTGAGCCTTGGCTTGGCCCTGTGGGCTGTCCTTTGTTTGTCCCATGACTGGGACCTCCTGGGCTCCATGGCATTTTGCTTGGCCTTAAATTATAAGCAAATGGAGCTCTACCATTCCCTGCCCTTTTTTTGCTATTTACTTGGAAAGTGCTTCAAGAAGGGACTGAAAGGAAAGGGGTAAGTGAGTTTCAAGTGTTTTATCTTAGGAATCAGCCTGGCATGGGGTTGTCCTTGTCTGCAGGTGGGCATTCCTGGATTCATGGCAGTGGGAGGCAGCTGTGTGAGGTGTTGCTGTGCTGCAGGATTGTGGCTCTGTGCTGATGTGTGTCCCGTTGCAGGTTGGTGCTGTTGGCCAAACTGGCAGGGACAGTGCTGGTGTCCTTCGCTGCCTGCTGGCTCCCGTTCGGCACCGACGTGGAACAAATCATGCAAGTACTCAGAAGACTCTTTCCCATTGACAGAGGCTTGTTTGAGGCATGCATGTTTTCTTCTCCCACCCACTGCCCTGTCCTGTATTCTTAGATCCCTGGAGAAACCTTCAGGCTGACCTTTAGGATTTCATGGGGGAGACACAGCGCGGGGCGAGTAACTCGAGACGGCTTCTTCAGCAGTCCTTTCTTGCCAGTTATTTAATCCAGTGTTTAACCCCAGCTCAGCTGGCATCTTCCAGGATATTATACCAGGAGACAACACTTACCCCATCATCAAACCCATACTTCAATCCATACATTTTTCCATTGAAATAGATTCCTTGTAATTGACAGTGTCAGAAGATGTCACCTTGAAAGTCAATGGCTTCGGCCTCTTGGCTTCTGCTCCCCTCTTTTCAATGGGATTAATTATTTTTCTAAAATAATGTTTAAATGGTGCTTTTGATACAGCCTAGAACTTCCTTTTTGACTCACCTTGTGCAGCTTCCACAATATTTTCCAAAAGTTTTCGGCCACTTCTGCTTGTGGTTTTGCTCAGGCTGTGGACACGCCCATGCTGGAGGTGCTGAGCCTCAATCCAGTCACTCAATTCCTCATTTACCAAATGGCAATGCCACAGGAGTTTGGGATAAAAGAAAGGGTTCTCATGTCCCAGCTCACAGGGAGTTGCTGCTGTTTTAATTGGGGCATGAGTCAATATTCCACTTTTTACAGCAGATCCTCAATTTCAGGCTTAACCCAGAAAACGAAGTTTTGAATTTTCAGGTTGTCACAAGGATTAAAGCAAATTCTCACATATTTTGATTAATTTTAATTATTCTTTTAAACTTTTTCAGATGTAAATAATATCACAACTGACACTCTTTTCCCCCCAAAAGTTAGTGCTGATGTACCGAAGGCAGTGGAGGTGTTCTTAGTGTATTCTCTGCTGGTTTATTTAAAAAACCCCAACAAACACCAAACAACCTCTCCAAAACACCCCCCAAAAACAATGACCCTTTTCCTTGAGAATTATTTGGAATTTATAAAGAAATCATTTTGCTCAGCACACCTTTTATTGAGTACCAAATTTAAAAATAAAATCTTTAAATGACAATAACCAACGAGTCTGAAAGAGCTGGAGGATTTTAGTCTAATATTAGCCCAAATATTTTCTGAGCTGCTCAGGGCAGTGACTTGCTGGATGCTGATGGAGATAAAATGAGAATTTGTCCACGTAAGCAGCGCTCAGTAACTTGGCCTGGGGTGTGACAGGTTCTGTGCAGCTCCCATTTGCAGCCAGGGTGTGCCAGTTCCCATTTGCAGCCTGGGAACACTTGCTGGTGGCTGGAAATTCAGGCTGGCTGTGAGGAGGAGGAGGTTGCTGGTGCTGCCAGGGCCGTGTTCCCCGGAATCCCCGCGGATTCCGCGCGCTGCCAGCGGGGACGGACGGGGCTCAGTTGCTGCTGGGAGCTGTGTCTACACAGCTGTGCCTCCAGCAGCTGTCTGGGGATGAGTTTCACCAGCAGGAGAGCTGCAGTTACAAATTTAATTTTGAAAGTGATCCTAGCACAAGTGCTAATGTCTTTAGACTTCTTGATTTATTGGGGGTTAACTCTGTCAGTGCTAGCGGGCAGCGAGCAGGGCAGGTACGGGAGGGAATGCGCAGCACGGAGGGAGAAGGGATTCACACGGACCAGGGTTTACTCAGGGACAGTTTCACAGCCTTACTCCACAAAACGTCTGCTCTCATGCCTTAAGTTGTCATCCTTGTGCTGAAGAACTGTTTCTCACTTATCTTAGAGCCTTTTTTAATTGGTTCTCTTGAAAATTTCCATTTTTGAAGAGCAGAATCATCCCCAGTGCATCAGAGAATGTGATGTGCTCCTGCAAGTGTTACTTGCACTCTCATGGCAGAAACCCAACAATCCCCACCTCCCAAGCCCCATTGTTCCCACAAACACGAGTGTAATTATATAAAACTATCACTGATTGCTGTTTCATTTCCTTCCAGGATAAAGTAGCCAATATTTGGTGCAGTCTAAGTGTCCTTATAAAGATAAAGAATGTAATATCCCCTCGAACTCAGCTGAAACTCAGGTAAGACATAACTGGAGTGCCTTAGGTAGTTTTTGTCTGCAATATTTTTTTCAGGAGTAAATTTTCTCTAATTGTATTCTTTCCTATACTGTATTTTTCTGCCAAGTCATGAGGGAGAAATACTGGAAATATTTATGACTGAAAAATTCCCTGCTTGTTTATATAGTGATTTAAGCTGCTTGGTTAAAAACTGAGTTAAAATTTGCAAATTCAAAGAATCCCAGTATCTTTCAGTGCTCTTAAAAGTCCGAGCTCCCAGTTCTCCTTGACTCAGTGAAGAATTCAGGTCTGGCTCTGCAGAGAGCAGTGTTAATGTCTGTAGTCCCTCATGTATTAAAACTGTTTTTCTTCCCCAATCCTTTAGTTTTGCTATAACATTCCTGAGCCTGCTCCCTGCCTGTATCAAGCTCACTGTCCAGCCTTCCCTGCGAGGGTTTAAATTTGCCTTGGTGAGTGTTTGCTGTTCACTGCTCCTTGTTTTGTATCCACCACAAGCACTGCCAACAGCACTTGTGCAGGGCACAGAGGGTGGAGCCATCAAATGCTGCGGGAATTGGTTAAAAAGTGTTTTACTTCCTCAAATCCAGGGCTCTGACCTGGCCTTTAAACCCAGACGTGTTCCTTAAGCTCAGTTTTCTTTATTTAACTCTGTATTTTTATTATCTTCCTCTGAAGAGCCTTTGGAAGATTCCACACACATTTAAACCTCATATAGAACTGGGATTTCTCCTCTTTTTGTTTGGCTTCCAAAGTGCCAGTTTTTCTTCCTTCACTGGCTGCAAAATTCCATTAAAAATTCCCCAAATGGACATTGTGAGCTCATGAGTGGTTTGAAAATAAAATGATCCCATTTTCCAAAATGTTTGCCTTCTCTTAGTCACATCATTGAATTGAAGCACATTGCCATGACTCTGTGCAAAACTGAGTTCTCCTTAAAATCAAAATTAGATGGAGCTGGGTCCAAGTTCCAGAGTTACAAGATGATTTCTGTTTTTAGTTTTACTATATTACCTAAAACTAACATTTATCCCAAGAACTGATTGGTTTTACACGTTTTTATTTGGTGGGCAAATAAAAAGACAATTTGTTTACTTTTTCTGTTGGCTGGTCATGATGAGGAGCAAAATTTCCTGTCAAAAATGGGGGTGATTCTTACCAGGAGTGGGATTTGCCAGTGCCTGTGTGTGGGAATGTTGTGATTCCTTGCTCTTGTCAGGGAAGCTGAGCAAGAGTGAGGCTCTGCCTGAAGGACTTTGTGACTAATTCTGGATCAAGCTCCAAACAAGGTGGTTTTGGGATGTGAGGCTGGTCCAGGAGCTGCTCTGGGTGCCTGGGGCTGGCACTGCAGGAAATGCAGCAGTTAATTAGAAAAGCTCGTTTAGCTGCTGCCCCACACAGAGCCTGCACCTGCAGACACCCAGCAGAGCTTTGCTCTGCAGTCACAGGCTGACCCATCTCTGCTCTCTTCCTAAGGTCAGCTGTGCCTTGTCATTTTTCCTGTTCTCCTTTCAAGTCCATGAAAAATCGATTCTTCTCGTGTCAGTGTAAGTAAATAATTTTTCTGTGAATAAAATTTCATCTTTTCCTCATCTTCTTGCATGCTGCTTTCACTTACTTAAATAGATCAGATTTTAACAGCTCTTCCCATTTGCTTTTCTAAATCACTTGTAAGTGAAGGTGTGCAAGTACAGCCAGGCTGGTGTGTCCTTCCAGTGCTGGCTGTGGGACAGTGCCCAGCACTGCTGTTCCCTGGGGATGTCCCACAGGGACTGGGAGTGCTGTTTGATTAGGGAATAGTTGAGATCTCTTTTTCTTCTTCTCATTCTAGCCCAGTCTGCTTGCTCATAAATGAAATCCCCTTCATGGCCACATGGTTTCTACTTGTGTCAACTTTCAGGTGAGCTGGAAAAACTGTTAACAGAGCTGTAGAGACACTGGGGACAAGGGATGGAAGGACAGGACAGGGGGAATGGCTTCCACTGCCAGAGGGCAGGGATGGATGGGAGATTGGGAATTGGGAATTGTTCCTGGCAGGGTGGGCAGGCCCTGGCACAGGTGCCCAGAGCAGCTGTGGCTGCCCCTGGATCCCTGGCAGTGCCCAAGGCCAGGCTGGACAGGGCTTGGAGCAGCCTGGGACAGTGGGAGGTGTCAGGGTTGAAACAGGATGAGCTTAAGATCTCCTCCAATGCAAACCCATCTGTGCTGGGTTTCAGGGATTCCATGAGAACCCTGTTCTGCCCCAGTTAGGGATGAAGGGAGGAGGATCAGTTCTTTACTGGTTTTCCTCTTCTCCCTGCATGCTGTGGCTCCCCTGGATGCTGCTGGCTGTCCTGCCCAGCCTGCTGCCCCTGCTGCTGAAGGACGAGCTGCTGCTGCCCTACGCCGTCACCACGCCCGCCTTCCTGGCCGTGTGCCTGGCCTCCTTCTCCATCCTGGAGAAGACCTCAGCAGAGGACCTGCAGCTCAAGGCCTTCTCCCTTTCCCTCAAGGGCTACGTGTCCTGGTTCAAGTCCTTTCCCAGGATTGTCAGGAGCCTGGTAAGCAAATTTTATTCCTTTTCCCCTTCCTTGCAGCTTCTCCCAGTACTGAAGTACCAGTGGAGGGGCTGTCCCTTTGTGGTGCCACTGGAAGCGTGCAGAGGTGGCAGCTGAGCTGAGGTGTGCCATCACTCCTTGTGTTGCAGTTCCTGCTGTCCCTGTCCCTGATGGGTCTCCTGTCAGTGCTCAGTGCTGCAGTGCCTCCTCCCCAGCGCCTGCCGGATCTGTTCCCCCTGGCCGTGGCCGTGGTTTCCTGCCTGCACTTCCTGCTCTTCCTGGTGTACTTTAATGTTGTGGTACTCTGGGACTCCAGGAGTAGAGGGCAGAAGAAAATCAGTTAATGGAGCTGAAGCTGCAGGACTGGGAGTGCTCAGTGAGAGGTGCCAGCACTGCAGAGGAGCCTGTGTGTGATGGACACAACTCGAGGAAAGCCAGGAAAAACCTTTTGCTTATTTAAACACAAAACAATCAAAGACTGTTTTAAAGGAGAAGTATTTTGAAGAGCATTGGAAATGGGATTTGATTTGTTTTCTTTGGAAGTGTCATACTTTTGTTACCGTTTGTTAACCTAAAATGCTTAATAAAGGACCAAATTTTGAATTAATGCTAAAATACTGTATTAGCAAAAGCAGCCTGAAGTTTTCTCCTTTCCCAGGATAGAAAGCCCAAGGAAGTGGTGTAGGTAAAGAGCAAACTCGTGCCTGGCAGCACTGAAGTTGTGGTGCTAAATTGCTTCATGACCCAAACCTGGTTTGTGGCATCAGTCACTGTCCCCCTTTGCTGGGGCTCAGCAGCTCTGGTGTGGCTCTGAAGCTGCTGCAAAGCTCTTTAACAGGACTGAAAAGCCAAAACTTTTGGTTCTACTGCAGTAAAAGCTGAGGTGCTGCAGTGCAGTTTGAAAATACCCAAACCCCTTATTAAATTGCACAGCAATTTGCAGATGTAAACTGAACTCAACTCTGCAATTTCTCCCCGGGCACAGCTCAGCCTCCAAAGCCAATAATTCAGAAAATACAAATTGATTGAGTAATTATAAACATAACAAAGCATGGAGGAAGAAAATAAATCATAAAGCAATTTAGGGTGGTGTAGTTTAATTAGGAGTCAGTCTACCCTTTTTTTCTGTATCTATATATAAATATAAAAGAAGCCCCCCTTGTTTAAAGGCTTCCCCTGTCACATTCCAGGCTGTCACTGCCCTCGGCCTCAGTGTGTGAATCAGCTGTTCTGGGAGCTTCCAGCTGGGCCAGTTCTGAGCCCTGGCACTGGACTCCCACAGGCTCAGTGTATTTGTGCACTTTTTTCCAGGCTTATTTGTTGTGGAAAAAATACCCCCAGGCAACACTGCCCCCCTAGCTCAGAGAGAATGGAAAAGGGGCTCTGGAGCAGGAACGAGAAGGATGTTGGTTCAGTTTCCCTACACTGTAACACTTCCCTATAGAGCAACAAAACTTCCATCTTTTCACAAAGATTTAGGATTTTCTGGGTCTGACTCTTAACTGTGGCATGCAAGAGCTCTGCCCACAGCACGGCCTTCCTGCAAGTGTGGGCTGAGTGGCACTCCGGGGACAGAAAAAGGACACAAAATAGGAATCTTTGTCTCCAGAGGCTGTGAAATCCCAACCCCACCGTGTTTCCCCCAGCCTGAGGAAGGGCTGTGCCTAGGACAGGGAAATGAAGGTGGATGGAAGCAGAGGGACCCAGGGTCTCATCAGCCCCGGCAGAGCCCAGGCCCATCCTTCCCCGTACCCAAACATTAGTTTTGGGTGTATCCCTTTCCTTTGTCCTTGAGGTGGCCTCGGGGGGTGATAAAGTGAGAGTCACCCGATCCACCTTGTGTGGAACTGGAAATGGTTCTTAACAGCCCCAGCTGCTTCAGAGGCAAAAGCCTGCTGCAGCAGGAGGTCACAGCCACGGCTGCTCAGGGGCTGGGTGTGCAGGAGCTGTGCAGCTCCACCTCCCTGAAAATGCCCAATTTCATATCTGGAATATGGGGGAGTTCTGCTGTGCTCACTGCTGGCCATCAGCACTTTGCTCGTGGTTCCTGAACCAGTTTGGTGCTGTTCTTCCAGGACTGCCCAGAATTAGACCAGCTCACTTGGTTCCAGACCCTTCTGAGATCAGTCATTGTTTAATTTCCAGCTCCAGAGGTTACAGAAACTCTGGCTGGCTCAGGGACCCTCAGCCTGCAAGGCCAGGGCTGGGGCACCTCACACACACACAGCCCCAGCTGAAAGCCTGGCAGAGCAGGGGAAATGAGAGCAGCTGCCACCATTCCCTCAAACACCTCCTCACCTTCTTCCCAGTCAGACTGCACAGGCAGTGAAGTGCAAAATCATTTTTATTAATTGAAAACTCCCAAAGCTTGAGTGTGTGTGTGCTCAGCCACACCCTGAACACCTTTATCATGCTGGTGCTCAGAATTTTACTTGTAAAAATCAGTTTATTTGAGGTGGTAGAAAGGACGTTCAAGTGTTTGTGTTTATGCTGAACTTTGATAAACATAAACTGTTTAACTGTATTTTTTCAGCCTACTTGCAAGGATTTGAGAGGCAGGGGATTCATTTAGCTGGAGGGGTGAGGCTGAGGAGAAGGAAAGAGAAAAGCAGCTGGTTTATAAAAAAGGTTGGTTTATATAAAACAGCTCTGCTCCTACAGCATTGAATGCCAAAACTAAACTCAAATGTTGACCTAAAAGCAAATGTTACCAGAGCCCTGTGTCAATGCTGGGTCCGAGGCCTTTTTACCCTGGGGCTGGGGTTGACTTTAGAGGAACCCTCATGCGGGTGACAGATCTGGAAAGTGTTTGCAAACAACTAAAACACATCCAGGGTGGCAATAACTAACTGCTGGCACTGCAGAGCTCCTCCAGCCCGAGAGCCCAGAGCCCCACACAGCAGCAGCCCCACGGGCCCAGGGCTGCACAGCACCCGGGGTGGGTTATTTACATTGAGATTATCTGCTTGTGCACATTGTCAAGTTGAAATAGATGCCAGAAATGTTATCTGGACGTGCACCTGCCCGGCACAGCGAGCACTCCCCAGCTGGGATTTGCTGGGGAGATTGGTTTACACTCAGTTCTTCGCTCCTTTTAAGTCCAGTCCAGCAGATGGAGAAGTTTGGGTTGATGTGGAATGCATTTTTCACATAATGCCTGTGGGGAGATGAGGAATGACTAAAATAAATAGCAATTAGACAGCAGCATCATCGTGCATGGGATCTGCTTGGAGTTATGGATGTGATGTCCAGTAAAACACACACAGAGCCTCAGGCAAGGCAGGGCACCAGCCCCTCTGGAGCTGCAGGGACATTTGGGGATGCTTTAAGGAACAAGGACAAGTAACCAATGGAGGAACAAACTGGTGAGGAGTAGCCAAAGCAGCAACAAGTTGGGGAGAAACAGCACAGGATGTTTCAGTGGGGGAGCAGAGCTCCTAGAGATTCTTTGTCACAGTGCTCAACAAACCAGGAACAAATCCCAAGGGCAGAGAACACCTGGTTCCCCTCAGGACAGCCTGCAGGACATCCCAGAGCTCCCTGCACATGGTTTACAAGAAGTACCTTGGTCCTGGTCACTCTGGCTATGCCTTGGTGCTGGGCAAGGCCGGGAGCAGGCCCAGGGCCTCCTTCTTTCTGTCCAGGAATGAGGTGAGGAATGCAGCACCCCCGGCAGCCTGGATGTGCTCTGTGAACAAGGAAAACACAGAAACGTGCTGTGTGATAGACAACAGTGGTGTGATGACAGAATTTGTGCAAATCCTGCCTCCCACACGAGTTAAATAAGTTGCTGTGGTGGTTAAAGAACCCAGCACCCCTTTTCCTTCACACGGTGTCTCAGCAGGGATTTCAGAGCTTGTCCTGGTGAGTGGCTGCACCCGTGTTCCATCACCGGCAGTGATGGCAAAGCAGAACAGAATGTGCTGCCAGGATGAGAAGCTGCTGCTGCCTTTTGCTGTCAATAATAAAAGAACAAATAAGAATCCCCAAGGGCTGTGCCAACAGAGCCCAATCAGGGATTGCAGCAGAGGAACTCCCACCCCTGGATCACCCACAGCCACCCTTGGGTCACCCACAGCCACCCAGAGTCACCCACAGCCACCCCTGGATCACTCCGAGTCACCCAGAGTCACCCACAGCCACCCAGAGGCCGGGCAGGGCCGGGCTGGGTGAGGGTGAGCAGCTGGCTGGGACAAGCACAGGAAAAGTGTGCAAGGAAGGAACTCAGGGAATGAGAACGTGTGGGGAAGGCTCTGGGAGCAGGTGCCTGCGAGTGCCAGGGCTGCCAAATGTCCCTGCAGCAGATGAGCAGCTCTGCTGGAGCACCCCCAGGCTGCTGGCTCCGGGGTGTTGGATTCCCCACCTTGCAGGGTAAGGGAGGATTCAGGATGACACTGGACACACCAAGGGGATTTCCAGCTGCACACAAACCCAGCTGGGGAGGGCACCAAACCCCTGGGGCAGGGCCTCCTCAGCTCTCCCAGCTGGCACACTGATCCCATGGCATCTCACACTGCACACCAGCACCTGCCCCTGGGCAGCCTCACCTGCAGCTGAGCCACACCAACCCCAGGTCTGCCCTGAGCCACACTCACAAGGTTACTCCAGAGAAAGGAACCCAGTCCAGCCTGGCCTCAGGTACCACTTTCTAGCTTCATTCCTAACAAACTTCATTTGTTTACACAAATTATTAACCAAAATCCCCACAACTGCTCACAACAGGAAGCTGCCCAATCTTGTATGGCAAGTAACAGGAAGAAGGTTCAGTTGCAAGCTGCTTTACTTGTGCTGAATGCAATTCCATAGAGGAAGGACTGCTTTCCCTTTAACCACAGACTGCAGCATTGCACTGTGTGGTGAGTAAAGAACCCAAAGGTGCCATGACCACCATGCTGAGCTCTGCCCAGCACTCTGAGCTCTCCTGAAAAGCAGAGGCTGCTCAGATTCACAAAAAAGAAACACCACGGACTCAGCTTTGTTTTCCAAACAAAGAATCCTGGAATGGTTTGGGTTGGAAGGGATTGTAAAGCCCACCCAGTGCCACCCCTGCCATGGCAGGGACACTTCCCACTGTCCCAGGTGCTCCAGCCTGGCCTTGGGCACTGCCAGGGATCCAGGGGCAGCCACAGCTGCTCTGGGCACCCTGTGCCAGGGCCTGCCCACCCTGCCAGGAACAATTCCTAATTCCCAATATCCCATCCAGCCTGCCTCACCTCTGAGTGAGCTGTTCTCAACAACCCCAACAGCCTTTCTCTCAGGATTTTTCCATGCAGAGCTCCTGAGCTCAGCTCCATCAAACCAAGAACATTCAGGAACCCCTGGCTGAGGTGCAGTGAACAGAGCCCTGGAAGGGCTCAGGGCAGGGAGCAGAAGGTGCCTGGGCTGTGCAGGAAGGGCTGGCTGCTGTTCCTCCCCTCAGCCCCAGCTTTAGGGCTCCCAGGGTCAGCAGGGCTGGAGTCCCCCAGACCTGCTCCAGAGGCCTGGCAGAGCCATCCCTGCCCCTGGACCACACCGGCACTGAGAGGGCTCAATCTTCCCAAGTTCCCTTTCCCCTCCAAGCTCCCCCACCATCCTCTCCCAACTTTGACTGCTCTAAAACATTTACAG